GTGAAAAACAATCATTCCTAAAATTAACTCTCAGCCATGAATATATATATATATATATATACATACATATATATATATATACATATAAAACTTACTATAATGATTTTGTTCTTGTTTTTCTAGAAAGAGCTGAAAAGTTTTAGTTTTGCTCTACCGTTACGATAACACATTTATTCGTGAAAGGTTGAGACTGGATGTGATTTTTACCGTTTATGTGTTGTTGACAGGTTACCAAACTGGTCGATACTTTATTGTTAAAATATATTCGTACCAAAACGTTGATTCTTCACTCGACTTGTAAATGTGATTTATGTAAATATCTTCCTCTTTATATATATAAGTTGTTATTTTTGTACTAGTACGCCATCAACACCTAAAGTCCTTACAATTTTCAGCGCAGTCAGATACTAGAAACTAAAAATATTATGGGCTAATGATCTTTGAAGATTAAAGAATATTTTGTTTTATATAGCTAAGCCAAAAATGTCTATTTTGTAACTATAAATTAATCACTATAACCATATCGTTAAGAGTATAGGTTATCGTATAAATACTAATGTTTCTCAAACTTAACGTTTTGGCACTAATAATGAGAAAAAAATATTGGATTGTATTTTTATTACTTAAATTAGCTCATTGAATAAAATTATAATTTATAACAATCAAACTATTATATAGATCTACATATAAAAAAGTCATAAATTGTGAAATTCAATTTCGAGGACTAAGCCTAAACACTCCAAAATTGTTTTAGAGAAAAAAGTATAATCTAATCGTTAAAAAAAAAGATATATATATATATACTGATGACTGGACGAATTATCATTCATTATTAAGAATAAAAAAATCACATCGTCTGATAATGATAATTATACTGGTGCTTCAGTTTGAATGGGTGCCATGAGTGTTTTTGTTAAGATCGAATATTTAATATTCCTCTTTTTTTTCTACACAAACGTTAATTTTTAAAATCATTGCTGCTGACTTGACAGTTTGTCTCTTTACCAAGCTTAGATTTTACTTTTTCTTGTTACCATATTACGGTACCTCTTTGATAATTGTGGCATGACTACTATCTTACTAAGCCTAAAATGTTTGGTTCATTGTGAATTTCTTGTCATCTTAATGAACCTAAAATGTATGGTTTGTTGTGAATTAATGTTCTAACAGTACAGATGTGTATGGCTTAATCTTTTGAACATAATTTGAAGACACGAGTCTCATCAGTATGACCATATTACCTAATGTAGTTTAAACGAAACAGAATATGCTGTTCTTATGAAATGAAGTCGGACGAAGGGTAATTGTCCGAAAAGCTGCTTTAAATAAAATGTTAATTGTCGTTGGCTTTACTACCCCTGTTATTTGTTTGCAGCGCATTTCTATGTGTTTCAACTTTCATTTTTACATAAATTAAATCAAGGTATAAGTTAACTTTCTATTAATATTTTTTATACCGATAAAACAATGAAAAAAGGGTATCTTATAGCTAGCTATCTGGTAATTATTACAATACATGAAAACGAGATCAGTTGGTTTTTATTTTGTGATGGTAGAAAGAGAAGCATCATAGACGCAGCTATGTGGAACTTCCTAAAACAATAAGAAAAAGTTTGAAACTCTAAATAACATGAGATATGACCTCAAAATGTGATCATTTTCTTTATAGTTGACGCTCAATATGCTTAGTTAAATTCTGGAATGACAGATATTTTTCTATTTTATGTCAACTAAGCAGACGTCTTAAATTTTGTAGATCTGTGATCTGTAACAAAATATTTTAGTTCATGTTATTTTATTGATTGTTTGTCGAGTGTTTAATCTTTGCAAAGCCAATTGTGTCTGCGCACAAAATAAAAGTAAAGGATTGTTATGGCTGTGAGAAGTAAGAGAAACAAGACAGAGGCCAACGATGATAATGTGGTCTGGATATGTCATCTGTGAAATTTAAATGTGCAAATTTGTAGTTTTTTTTTGTCAAAGCCTGTTAATTTGAAAGTTACCTAACGGAGAGTATAATAGTGTTAAAAAAGTTTTATTTGTAGTCATATTTCCGGTGTGTTTACTCTCGATATGAAATACAGTGTTGTAAGAAGTTTATAATGTTATATGTAGAATATTTCCTTCATTTTATATGATAAAAATAAATGGTTTAAAAGATGCTTTATTAATAGTTGAGCCTCTAAATAATAATAAATATATATTCCCCATGTAGTGACCATCGTCAGAAGTTCAAAGAAATAACCTTTCTTTTGTTATAATTATCTGTTTGTTTTGAACACGCTATTCTGTATTTTAAATGTGAATATTTACTAGTTGTTCATGGATAACTGTTGTAAACAACTTTGGTGCCTCAACTGTTTATTGTATAAATAAAGCACCCTAACGTTACTATCAACTCGGTGATTCTCTTTCTGTGGTATATTATGAGATTAAATGTTTCTCTTTCAGCCAAAGTCTTTATGTCATTGGAGGTTTTGTATGTGTTTCGCACCAGTTTTCGTGTAATTGTTGTCAGTTTCTCATTAGATGGGCGCCATCTGTGAAGAAGAATGTATATTTAGTTTTATGAAAAATATTAAATTTAATAAAATTATATATGATACAGAAATGATAAAGTCTGCGTTGTGAGTATTTTTTACCTGTACTGAAGTTTTTATTTAAAGTTTCAAGAATAATATTTGAAGCTATTTGTATTTTTAGCAACTCTTCAGGTAGAAGTTACATGACGGTATTACAAGAATGAAAAATTCGTTGACTGTTGGAACTTCAAATACACAATTTAAATACACAGTACACAAGAATCATACTGTTTGTTTGCGATAAACATTTTTCACATATTAAAATTTCTTATGAAAAAATGTTTTAAAGGCATATAATGCTAGTATGTCAAATTCTGAAAAGCTATTTAATTGCTTAACGTTTATAAAGTCTTTCTTTACAATTTTGATGACAGTACATGAATGATTAAAGTTGGAGACGTATATGTGAAAAAAAATTAAAGCCTTGTCAATTTGAATATTTGTACCTAATGACGTTATCACTAACATTTCGAAAACATTAATTCAATAAGCGCAAACGTATGTTATAAAAAGAAAACAAAGCGTTTTCTATTGAAGATCTTTAAATACTAAAGTTCACTCTCAGAAATGAAAAAGACAATAAATAAAAAAGTAACTAGAAGCGGCATATCGAGTATTTTAGTGTAACAGTTTTCTCGCTTTAAAAGCTATAGGAATAATTAAACTTACGTGTGGCATATAAAAATATCGTTATTTCTGTACTGAAATATCCAGTAAAAACTGAAGAACGGAGTGAAACTTAACATTATATTTACATAAATATCCATACACACAATAATTCCAAAGCCTAATTGTCTGGAAAGTACGTTGAAGTTTACACCCAAACATTGAAGAATAACAACATCAGTTTGACATATTCATTCATATGTTACACATGAATCGCAAATTCATATTACTTTTTACTCGTACATTATGAGCTAATAAACAGCAAATAACGTATTTAAATTACACATGATAGAAAAAATATTAAAGTACACGAGTTTTGAACAAGATAAATATAGAATAATTATAAAGCCATGTTGTTTGTTATTAAATTTAATAAAGTTACCATGAAAACTTAAGACAATATTTAATATTTTCGGGATGTTAGCTAAATATACAACCAAAATACGGTCATCATTGATTACCATAAGTTATAAATGATTTAAACAGCCACGAACAATAAAATTGCACGTGCAATAAGAATTGCAAGATTTTTCTGGTGGGAGTATTGTTATATACACAGATTTATAGTAAAAATATAAAAGCTTTGATTCTGTATGATATTTGGTATAATAATTACAAAGAACATTATTATTCTAATATGTTAAGATACTAATCTTTTTATTAAAGTTTTAAATAAAACGATATTATATTGAATATAGAAAACTACAAAATTAGCTACAGTAAATGGTTTTATATCTGAAGATAACGTTAACAGTTAAACAGTAATCTTTTGCTGGAATATATCTATATATGCCTCAAGAATTGAAAAATATGCTGATTTTAGGTTTGTTTTAACAAACTTTTGTTTTTGTTATTATTTGAAAAATTTCAAATTATTTATTATATAGAAATTGTAGATTTTATTTACCTGAAAGAAATAAAATACTCAATAGTTGCATTAAACGGCTTAGTAAAATAGTTTACAAATTTCTATGGGGTTTTGAGTGCGTTATATTTCACGATATAGTAAGCTAAATTGATTTGGGTATGTGAATAATGTTAGGACATTTCGTCGAATTAATTATTCAATATTATACAGCGGACCAACTGTTTACAAATGTATTCAAGTATGGTTGTTATAGTTATCTGTTAATACAATCTAGTATTATTTGTAGAAAATAACTGCTTCGTATTAGTTTAATTTTTTAAAATATTTTATTTACAACTGAAGAACTTTTTATGAGCTCAAAAGGCTTTGACATGATTAAAATTTTATCAAATATTTTATTATTTTGTACTTATTTAACTGTTCACTAAGATTTTGGCAATTTGCAATCATTCATGCTCAAAGGATCAAAATGGCGATACTGTAAACGTTTACTCTTTTAAGATTTTACAAAAAAGCCGAATTCTGTCCCTTTGAGTTTGATTTCATAATCACATGCCAATAATTAACCAAATGCTAAAATTAAAGTAAATTATATACCTATCAATGTATGTGTACGAAGAGCTATAAACGTATTTGTATACATACGATTGATAGTTAAAGGTTTTTAATTCTACTATATTACAAGGAATTTGTCACAGAAGATGTCTGTACTTCATGACATCTTTAATACTTCTGACGCATCTAAACAAAAGATATCGATCCATTGAATAAGATGATTCCAATAGATGTCTAAAGAAATTTATACAGAGAGCGAGATCCGAAGTAGTCTTCCTTATATAAAAAGAAATGACAGATCC